TTGAGAATATTAGTTGGTGCTCCATTAAGAAGTCCACCAAAGCATCAAACTGTGTTAGACTCATTGGTGCCTGTTTTTACTTCTGTTGACTCTGAGACTGCAAGTATTTCAGCACCTGTTGACAAGGATAAATTCATTCGTCCAGAAAGTTTAAATAATTTTGTAATATTTTGCACCAGTGATTTTACCACTGTTTCCAAAGAAGTTCATGTGAGAACACGTAGAGTACGATTAGTTGGGCTAGAGGTAAAGACAATTTTTTCTTTGGGGGCAGTGTCTTCAACTCTTTTTATTGTTATTCTTCTAATAACCTACATGAGTTGGCTTATGTTCAGGGATCTGGTAAAACTACTCTTTTAAAGGCTGTCTTGAATAAGTGTAAACCGAATTCTGCCACCAATGAGAATGTGGTTCCAGAGGTTGATGTGCGAGAAGTTATTGCTGGTGGTTTGTGCTATTGTGACTCCACTGGAATAAATATGCAGGTTTTCCATTTTTGGCTATTTTCAGATTGTTATTATTCATAGAAAAAAATCCAACATGTTCTTCCTCTTTGAAGTATTGCCTGCTTTATGGGTCAAACAACCCAGTGTTAACCAGTTGAATGTCTGTTTCTTGCATTAGTTTCATTCAGAATTTGCTTTCTGACCTTATTTTATTGATTTATGATGTTTTGTCATATTGATCCAGTCTACTACTTTAATGGTATGACAATGGTCTGTCCCCTTTTTGCAGAAGCCATGGTGAGGAATTATATCACGAGTATTATATGTTTTAATGAATTATGATTAATATCTTAATCAACAGGTTATATGATAACAAAGCTTGCTATTATCAGTGTTTTTAATACCTAAATACTTGAGCTGGATATATATTCTTATTAGTTGAATTCTGTAGAAAAATATTCTTATAACCAGATGGCGTCAATTATTGTAGTTAAGCAAATTTTTCAGGTGCATATTTGCAATTGCAAAGAGCTTGACCTTGAGAATGTGTAGCTTTCTGTTCATAATGTGTTAGTTAAACAGTGCATTTTTTTTTTTTATTTATAAATTGTTTTTCAGGACTTGAATGTGGAAACCTCTCGCTTCAGGAATGAACTATGGCTTGGAATCCGTGATCTAAGTCGGAAGACTGATTTGATTGTTTTTGTTCATAACTTATCCCATAGCATACCTCGATGTAGTAATTCAAATGATACTCAACAAAGGCCAGTCCTCTCAATTTTCCTGGATGAAGCTAAATCTCTTGGAATTCCTTGGGTTCTTGCAATCACAAACAAATTTGCAGTTAGTGCACACCATCAAAAGGCTGCAATTGATGCTGCTTTGAAAGCATACCAAGCATCTCCTAGCTCAGCTGAAGTTATAAATTCTTGTCCATATGTTATGTCTGGATTTGTTGGGGCTTCTCTTTCTTTGGATGCAACCAATAAAGATTCTAATAGAAGGGTTGGTGCTGAAAAGCTTATTTTTGCTCCTATTAACTTCATTAGGAAGCCTTTCCTGAAAAAGGAAATTGTTCTTCCAGTTGAAGGGGTAAATTCTCTTTGTCAGCAAATCCACCATATACTCCGCAGTCATGAGGAGTCTTCCTTTCAGGTGGAAAAATCTTCAGTGTATAAAATCTCATGTTTCTTTTTTGAATAATTCCACTATTACATTTTGTGTTGCATGTATTTCACTCCCAAACTGTGATTATAGCTTTTAGAAATGCTAGTAAGTAGTAACATATTGTCTAACACAATTAATTAAAATTGATTGAGAATCCCACTCAGCTATTTAACAAGTCCAACTTAGTTTTATAATTCCCAATAAATTTCAACCAATGATAATAGAGTATATTGAAAAGAGTGTGTTGGAGGATACGTTTCTAGCACTTCTGTTGTGGCTTTTGATCTAAAGGTTATCATCATAGAGCAGTGTGTTGCATGCTTTATATAGTCATTCATGAGCCTTCACCTAAATGTAGAGTAAACACCCGTTTTGGTCCTTGAATTTGGAAGGCACTATCATATTAGTCCCTGAAACTAAGAAATTGCCAAATAAATCCCTAGAGTATCAAATAAGTCCTTAAATTTAACTACCTACTATCATTTTGGAACCACAATATATATCAATATTATCACTTTAATCACACATATTTTGTAGTTTTGGACTAATATGGTTGTGAATTTGCACTTTTCAGGGACGTATTTAACAATTTGTTAGTTTCAAAGACTAATATGATAGCCCATTCCAAATTTAGGGACCAGTTTGGGCCTCTACTCTTACTCTTTTATAGGGTAGTTGGTCAACGACATGATTTAAAGTTAAAGCTTTGATGGCCAAGCAATCAAATTTTGATACTGTCTCCATTCTTCAAAATTAAGTTGAATTTTAGCGAAAGATATAGTATGAAAACATAAGCTTGATTTGTGATCTTTTAGCTAAACGCTTGAGCTTATAGGAGAGACAATCATTATAACTTGCAAATAATGCATGATTATGAAAGCTTTATAGACTAGGTAATAATTACTTTGGTAGGGTATTTGGGTCTTTATCTAGTTGTATTTCCATAGATGTATAAGGGCTAGGTATCTTGTATCTCAATTAGTCAATTATGTAGAGCATTTATGGAAGTTTCCATTTTATGTTATTATATTCCTATAACTTCTGATATTTTACCTCTCATTCTAAGTATTACCTTGATGTGAATTATATTTTAATTCCTATACCTTGATGTGGATTATGATGATATTACCTACTCACTGTACAATGTTTATATTTTTATTTTGAAAGATATATACATATGCATAGATAAGCATTACTATAGTACCTATTATTTAGGTGTGTAAGAGGTGTTAAATGATGGTGTCATCACTTATTATATTTGTTAAGAGAGAGAAACATAGACATTGAGTAATTAGTACATTGTGATTCTCAACACTCCCACTAAATAAGATATTATGTGCTTATAAACTATATAATGTGCTTATTATCAGATATTGTGATTCTCAACACTCCCCCTTAAATAAGATATTATGTGCTAATAAACTATATATAATAATTAATACGTTGTGATTCTCAGCAGTCCCCCTCAAGCTGGGACATATGAATGATATGCACCTAACTTGTTACATATACAACTAACTTGTGGACCCTTCAAGGATTAAGTAAGAACATTTGTTAGCTGATGACAAAGATAGTTGTAGTTTCTCCAAACCTGACCTTTTCCCTGATAAAGTGGCAGTTGACTTCAATATGATTGGTTCTCTCACGAGACATTGAATTATATGCAATATGCAAGGCAGCTGTATTATCACATAGTAGTGTCATTTGTGTAGACTTTTCAACCTTTAGTTCTCTAAGCAACTGTTTCAGTCATATGTGTTCACTGGTTACTAAAGCCATGGCCTTGTATTCTGCCTTTGCACTAGATCTTGCCATGTCATTTTGCTTTTCATTTTTCCAAGATATCAGATTTCCTCCAACCAACACAATATCCAGAAGTTGATCACCTAGGACTAGGTGAACCTGCCCAATTAGCATCTGGGTAACCAACTGTCTGAGCATATCCTTTGTCTTCATAAATGAGGACTTTGCCTGGAGAGCTTTTGATGTATTTTAATATCCGATTCATAGCATGCCAATGATCCTGAGAAGGAGAGTTTAAGAACTGGCTTACTACACTTACTGTAAAGACAATCTCTAGACAAGTTACTATAAGATAATTTTGCTTTCCAACAAACCTTTTGTATTTACCAAGATCTAATAAGGGCCCCCTGATTAGGTAGTATTTTGACATTAGGATCTATGGGAGTATCTACCGGCTTGTTTCAAGGATGTCAAGAGGATATTTCCTCTGACTTAGAAAGTATCGGAGTTTATCAAGGTCTTTAGTCGGGAATTGCTAGGATAGGTACTGCTTAAGAAGAGTAATGCCCTTCAAATCACTATCAGTTATGAGATAAATACATCCTTGAGGTGAATGATAATAGAAAACAAAATGGTTGGCACCACTATGAATCATACCAAACTGTTAGTATGAAAGCGACCAAGTAGGCATGAGGAGATTGTTCAAATCCATATAGGGATCTTTGAATCTGGCAAACCATTGTAGAGATTCTAGAGAACTCCCCTTGAGCAACAAATCCAAGTGGTTGCTCTATGTAAACTTATGGACCTTTGGATCTGACAAACCATTGTAGAGAACTCCCCTTGAGCAACAAATCCAAGTGGTTGCTCCATGTAAACTTCTTCAAGATTGTTACGTAGGTAAGCATTTTTTATATCGTGTTGAAACAGAGACCAATGGCATAAAAGTTGAACTAAAGCCATTTTAGCCACCGCAGAGAAAGTCTTGCCTCATAATGATGCTCCATGATAATCAGCCACCAATAAGCTTCTTTTCCTTCAAGAACTGATACCCACAGGCCACAGCACCAAGATCGGAACTCTGACACCAGTTGATAGAAACTGGTTCAGATTTATTGAGAAAATGGAGAAATTCCCCTGGTTACAGTATGGTTGCAGAACTTGGAGGGTCTACACCTCCTATTGCCCGTCCAAACACTTGGGTATACCCTTTTGCCACCAGTTGAGCTTTGAAGTAATCTATTTTGCTGTCTGGACCAACTTTTAAATGAGTGTTCGACATAAATTGTTCAACATTAATGTTCAATACAATGAGCATCCAAAGAAATATTAATCCTTAACAAGTTATGTTGTATATTTTATTTTACAATTTATATTTGGTACCTTGATCTTCATTTAATGCTCCATTAAAAAATTGATTTCTATCCGAATTGATAACTTTAGACAACTGGCAGACATGAATATGAGAAAGTATACGATGAAATAGGAAGGCTTTAACGTATGGCGACATTACGCCATCTAGAAGTTTCGGCTTGGGGCCTATAGGGTTTTTCCTTTGCTAGGAGTATGTGCACATGTTTAACGCTGTACATTTCCAGTTCTCTTTAATACCACCTCTCTTGAGTTTTGTCCATATTTTTCACTACTTTCAATTTTATTTTATTTTTGTATAATACTGCACAGTTAATGCTTTCATCACAGGAATTTGCAGCAGATAGGCTTATGATGGAATTGGCACGAGAACAGGCAATGTCAATTGAGGCAAGTAGAGATGCTCGAGCTAAGGCAAATTCATTGAATTCTGCTGCTGTGGGGGCATCCGTTGGTGCTGGTCTTGGTCTTGTCCTGGCAATTGTGATGGGGGCAGCATCTGCCCTGAGGAAGCCCTAAGTACCAAATTTTCCTTATAATTGACCCGGTGCTTGCTCAACAGAAAGTTTGGTTGTGTCTGCCCGGTGTTCAAATAATTTTTGTTATTAGGATTTCATTTTTTTTCCTCGGTACTAGGATAGAAGAAACTCGTATGAAAGTAAATTTTTATTTGCTTGTCACTATAGCGACATATTTTCACTCATTTATTTAT